GGCCACCTGGCCGCCAGGGAGGGGGGGGCGCCACCTGGCCGCCAGGGAGGGGGGGCCACCTGGCCGCCAGGGGGGGGGGGCCACCTGGCCGCCAGGGAGGGGGGGCCACCTGGCCGCGAGGGAGGGGGGGGCCACCTGGCCGCGAGGGAGGGGGGGCGCCACCTGGCCGCCAGGGAGGGGGGGGCCACCTGGCCGCGAGGGAGGAGGGGGGGCCACCTGGCCGCAGGGAGGGGGGGCGCCACCTGGCCGCGAGGGGAGGGGGGGGGCCACCTGGCCGCCAGGGAGGGGGGGGGCCACCTGGCCGCCAGGAGGGGGGGGCCACCTGGCCGCCAGGGAGGGGGGGGCCACCTGGCCGCCAGGGAGGGGGGGGCCACCTGGCCGCCAGGGAGGGGGGGGGCCACCTGGCCGCCAGGGAGGGGGGGGCCACCTGGCCGCCAGGGAGGGGGGGCCACCTGGCCGCCAGGGAGGGGGGGGCCACCTGGCCGCCAGGGAGGGGGGGGGCCACCTGGCCGCCAGGGAGGGGGGGGCCACCTGGCCGCCAGGGAGGGGGGGCCACCTGGCCGCCAGGGAGGGGGGGGGCACCTGGCCGCCAGGGGGGGGCACCTGGCTGCGAGGGAGGAGGGGGGGCCACCTGGCCGCCAGGGAGGGGGGGGGCCACCTGGCCGCCAGGGAGGGGGGGGCCACCTGGCCGCCAGGGAGGGGGGGGCCACCTGGCCGCCAGGGAGGGGGGGGGCCACCTGGCCCCTGCGAGAAGGGCTGCGGGCTACTACTGCAAGGAGTGGGGTGGGGGGCGGTCAGCTTGGCTCAGGTGTAGGGCTCCCGCCTGAATCATAAGGTTGATGGTTCAAGCCCTGTATTTGACTCTGAACTCATAGATCAAGAGCTGGGGCGCGGTGTGGGGTATTGTTGGGTCTGACCCAAAAGGTTTGTAGGTGGATTTTAATCCAGAAAAGTGCGTTGAATGTTAGTTGGGACCAGTTAGCACGTACGGGCTTGCAATATTGGACGTGGAATTTTGTCAGTTCCTATGTTTTTTTTTTGCCGTAAAACAAAGACGGGGGTAGGGTTAGGTAAATGTCACACTAACGTTGCTTAATGTCAAAGTCCATACGTCTTCTATGCTTTTGTCAGATATTCTCTGCTGTTTAATAGTTAATTAACTGATCAACAGTATGACGGTGACGTTGTTCACACGTCAAAGTTTGAAGAAAAACCCCAAGTTCAGTGTATAGCACTTTTATTATGTATTAACATTATCAATGGCATAAATGTCAACTGTATTTAGCAACAGTCATAAAATTACGTGTTTGTTAGATATAAGAGCTAAAGCTAAAAGTAATGGATCTTCATATAGAGCCCCATTTGTTTCTTTCAATGCTCTGATGTATCCGTCCTCCCAAACTGAATGGACTGAATTATTCTGGCACCACCACCAAATATTACTGGCAAATTTGTCCAGAAATGCATCAGGAACGTGGCATCTACCAATGTAAACATCAGTAGACACTGGAGCCTGTTGAGCATAGGCAGCGGACAGTGGTTTGGGGCGTACGCAGGTCGGAGAGGTGGGGAGGTGCCAGGACACGACGGGATTTGAATACGGGTGTGTGGATCCTGAAATCGATCGTTTCGGTGATAGGAACCCAGTGGAGCCCGGGTAGAACTGAATTGCCTACTTTAGAGTCTATTCTGCTTACTAAGGTAAGATCATTGGATCAGGGTTGTCCTTTTGAATACATTTGACACTCCACCCGCAGCCTGCACGAGCCAGAGCTATACCAGAGCTACCTCTCGTTGCTCTGCGTTACAGCAAGAAAAAAACCCAACAAACTCCATTTACACAATGCCATTCATGTCGGGAGGACATCCCAAGGCACAGGACAGTCTAGGATTTGCACCCAAGCTGGGAGTCCCGAGGGGTGGAAGGCACAGAGGGTGGGTGTAGGGGGGTGACCGAAGATGATGGTCTTGAGACGGTCCTTGAATGAGGCAAGGGAGGGAGCCAGGCAAAGGGACTGTAGGATGGAGATCCAAAGGGTGGGGGCAGAAAGGCTGAAGGCTTGACCGCCAATGGTGGGACATGGAGCAAGCCAGAGCCCGCTGAGCAGAGGGAGCAAACAAGTTGATATGGGGTTAGCAGGTCTCACGGGTAGGAAGGAGCAAGGCCGAGGAGAGCCTTGAAGACCAGGACCAGGATTTTGAAGTCTATCCTCTGGGGGATGAGGAGCTAGTGGAGCTGAGCGAGGGTGGGGTTGATAGGATCACGGGGCCTTTCGGCCCATAAAATGTTCCCCTTCTCCACATGAGCCCCCCCCCCCCCCCCCCCAATCTCCTACAACCCCAAAATTATTTTAAATCAGGGAGTTTGAATTGGAGTTAGAGCTTCCGATATGCAATTTACAATCAAATCTTGCCTTTGATTTATGTTTGCCTGTTGAGGTTCTGCGAACGCCCAGCTCGCTCGTGTTTTTTCGAGGCTTAACGGACGTGGAATCCACCACACTGGTTAGAGCACTCGCCTCGCAAGCGAGAGACCCGGGTTCGATTCCCGGCAGGGCAAAACCTTGGCGAGTTTCCTTACTTCCACACGCCTGATAATAATCCCTCAAGAAAACAAAACGATAACAAAATTGGTCACTTCAATCCACGGCTGTTTGTGGGACACTGCTGCTGTGTTGTTCCCACAAATATACAGTCAGTTCACTTTACAGTTTGTTCCTGATGTCTCGAAGACGTGAAAAGCGCTATATCAAATGGAAGGATTATATAATTTCGAGGCCATTTATCTGGGTTAGAACCCTTTCAAGCTGATAGTGTGTTGTTGATTTAACTGGATGTTCTGTTTAGGAGGTTAACTCCCGAAATGAAAATAGAACCGATCTGTCGAAAGTCAGCGTTGAGCTCGTCTCCCTCCAAGGTCACCAGTCAATCATTCTAAGCCGACGGTAACATTTCCTCAAACATTAACCGCCGAGTGCCATCTTGCATTACAGTCCTCACAAGAGACAGAAAGAAAGTCTCCTTCTGTGCTCTGCAACCTACGTGGCAGGTGGAAAATGACTGCGTCTCAGAGGAGAGTTTAAGTGGAGTCCGTCCTTTAGTTTGCTCGTGAGCGCGGTCGCCTCGTAAGCGAGAGGACCCGGGTTCAATTCCCGGGTGGGGCGAAACCTTGGGCAAGTTTCCTTACTCCACACAGAGCCTAATAATAATCCCTCCAAAAACCAAAAACAATAATAAATTGGTCATTTTCAATCTACGACTGTTTGTGGGACATTGCTGTGCGCAATTGGCTGCCGCGTTCGCCCACAAATATACAGTCAATTCACTTTACAGTGTGTTCTGTGAAGCGCTTTGGGACGTCCTCCCGACGTGAAAAGCGCTATATCAAATGCAAGGATTATTATTATTATTATTATTATCTCTGTTTACCCGGCAGTAAATGAGGACCCGGTTGTTAGCCAACTGGCGGATCGCTTTCCCGGGGTAATAATCCCTCCAAAAAAAAAGAAAAACTTGATCGTTCTTCACCTCTCTTGTGTTCTTGTGAATGAGGAATCTTTGAGCATATCTTGTTCCCGATTTCCCACTTTTATAACTCTTGCTTTTGACACAGCACCGTATCACATTGAAACGTAACAGTGCCTTGGGATGTCCTCCTAACATGAAAGGTGCTTTACAAATGTAATTTTGTATTGTATAATAATAATAATAATAATAATAATCCTTTCATTTGATATAGATGTCTCAAAGCGTTTCACAGAATATACAATAAAAATGATTTGACTGTATATTTTGAGGACAAAATACGGCAGCCCATTGCGCGCAGCAGTGTCCCACAAACCGTCGTGGATTGAGTGACCAAATTATTATTTTTACTTTCTTTTTTTGGTGGATTACCCCCGCAAAGCGATCAGCCAATTGACGAACAAACGGGTTCCTACTCACTGCTGGGTAAACGGAGGCACGTGGAGTAAGGAAATTCGTCTCAGATTTCACCCCGTCCGGGAACGGAGTCAGATCCCTTCACTTGCGAGGCAAGTGTTCCGAACCCTATGCTACTCAAGTGTTTCCGTGGAATAGGTTCCTCCAAAAGCGAGAAGGAAACCCTGAACTAGGTTTGTTAGTCAGCTTGTAACCTGCCAGTGTAGGTTAGCCTGCGGATTGATAGCAGTCAGTAGAAACCCGGTTGTTAGTCGATTGGCGGATCACTTTTCCGGGTGTAATAACCCCTTCAAAAATAATAATCATAATAATTTGGTCACTCAATCCACGAGTGTTTGCGGGACGCTGCTGTGCGCAATTGGCTGCCGCGTTTGGCCCACAAGATACACAGTCAATTCACTTTACAGTATATATATTCTGTGAGGGCTTTGAAACGTCTCAAAGATGTGATAAGACGCTATATCAAATGCAAGTGTTAGTATTATTATCTCATCTTCATCTGTCTAGACTGGTACTCCAATACGGCGCTGGGGGAGCTTCGCACTGGCGTGTCAGCCTGGATAGATGGAGAGGAGATGGAAAATAGTGGAGGATATTCGATAGTTATGCAGCTATGAAGGGGATAAGGGGAGATTGAGGTAAACCAGGCAAGCCGCTCCAGGGAGAGTAGACATGTTCTAAATGCATCATTGTCCAGGTGAGACTTTAAACCGAGGTCCTGTCTGTCTGGTTAGGAGGATGTTAAAGATCCTGTTGCACTATTGGAAAAGAGAAGGAAGTTATTATCTCCTGGTGTCCTGGCCAACAATTTCCCAGACAAAATTACTCGCTTCATGGCTGTTTGTGGGACATTGCAGATTGTCTGTGACGTCCGCCTACAAAATGAAAGGTCACCACACGTTACAGTAGATCAAGCAAAGATCTTATAGACATACATCCTCCTGACATGAAAGGTTCCACAATAAATGCAGATTGTTATTATTATTATTCCTAGACTCCAGTGCTGTGTTTTGTTGATCTTTGAGACGTCCTGTGTAAATATTGTCTGATTTAAGCTTGTCATTGAATGTTTCACTCTGAACATTATGTTCTGATGGTGAAGGTGAAGGAAGCTCCCACTCCCGGGGGGAGAGGGGCTATGGCTGATCTCAGGCTCTAACCTCACAGGTTCACGGGGTGCTATGAATGCACTTAGAATCATAGAATTATACAGCACAGAAGGAGGCCATTCGGCCCATCGTGCGTCTGTGCCAATTCTTCGAAAAGAGCTACCCAAATCAATCCCACGCCCCCGCGCTCTCTCCCCACAGCCCCGCAAACTTGTCCTCCCCAAATAATTATCTACTCTTTTAAAAGTTGTTATCGAATCCCACTACCCTTCCAGGCAATGCATTCCAGATCCAAACAACTCCACAGCTGTGTGGAAAAAAAAGTTCTCCTCACCTCCCCTCTGTTTCTTTTAACAACCATTTTAAATCGGTGTCCCCGGGTTTTACCGACCCACCCGCCAGTGGGAATAGTTTCTCCTCGTTCACCCCATCGAATCCCCTCTTAATTTTGAAAGCTTAATTTTTAATTCTCCTCTTAACCTTCTCTGCTCCAAGAAGAATAATCCCGGCTTCTCTCGCCTCTCCTCATAACCGAACTCCCTCATTCCTGGTATCAATCTCCTTTGCACCCTCTCCAATGCCTTGACATCCTTCCTAAAGTGTGGCGCCCAGAACTGAACACCAGTGTTTTATAAAGATTCATCATAACTTCCTGACTTTTGTATTCTATGCCCCTATTTATAAAGCTTAGAATCTCATATGCTTTTTTAACGACTTTATCTACCTGTCCGACCACCTTCAAAGATTTACTTATGTGAACCCCCAGGTCTCTCTGTTACTTCACCCCCTTCAAGACTCCACCATCAGCTTATATTACCTTTCCATCATTCTTCCTCCCAAATTGCATTCCTCCACATTAAACTTCCCCGAATAATAATAACAATAATCCTTGCATTTGATCTAGCGGCTTATCATGTTGTTAAGGCGCCTCAAAGCACTTCACACTATGCAGTGAATTGACTGTGTGGGTGAAACACGGGTAGCCAATTCCGCGCAGCGGTGGCCAACACACAGCCGTGGATTGAGTGATCGTATTTTTTTGGGGAGGGATTATTACCCCCGGAGAGCGATCCACCAGTCAACTAACAACCAGGTTTCTACTTACTTACCTTTACTCTTGCTTGCTTTGTTTGCAACGTGTATTTTTCCGATGCTCTGTCGGCCTATCATCCCCTTTTTCGCTCGGCTTCTCTTGCTTCCCATTCTCCAGTGGATCGAATTCAAGATCCTGTCTCGAATATTTTTACCCTGCCCCTGTGATCTCCTGGACCCCTACCGACCCAACCGCTCCCACCGCTCGGCAAACACTGGCCTGCTTAATGTCCTCTGCGCTAGCTGTCCCATTACTGCTGGACTTGAGGTGGGTATTAGGGATGTCAGTTGTTGTGGAGTCCCGTAGCCTGGTGGTTAGAGCGCTCGTCTCGCAAGCGAGAGGACCAGGATTCAATTCCCGGGCAAGACAAAACCTTCGGCCAGTTTCCTTATTCCACACGCCTCTTGTTTACCTAGCAGTAAGTAGGAACTTGGTTGTTAAATCGATCGGCAGATCGCTTTTCCGGGAGTAATATGATCCCTTCAAGGATATTAATAAATAAATAATAATAATCATTATTTAATAATAATTTGGTACTCAAACCACGACCGCTGTGCACAATTAACTGCCTAGTTTCGTCCTCAGAGTATACAGTCGATTCACCTTACAGTTTGTTCTGTGAAGCGCTTTGAGACATCTCGAGTACGTGATAAGTAAGGCGCTATATCAAATGCAAGGATTATTATTGTTGTTTCAGCTCCTCTATAGACTCGTATCGCTGTTTTGTTACGGGGTAAGAGGACACCCTGTACAACTGTGTGGATGCCCCCTACACACTGAGGTTACCAGGTCTTGGCCATGACAGTTTTTGATCAGCTGCTGCATTTATAAATAGCCTCAGCGATCAACCTCTGTCAGTGCCAGAGAGGCTTCTCACAAAGAGGCAACGGCTTTGCCTTGACATGTTGCCTGGTATTGGGCCTGACCTTCCTCTTTAGCTGAAGGACTTGGCCAAATGCAAACAAGCGCACAGATTGTTAACCTCGATGTATCTTTCCTTCCTTGGCCTCCTAAGTTTTTAGATTTTGGGTGGGGGTCAGCCAGGTGGGTGTCCGACACAAGTGGAAGCCCATCAGCGTGCTGATGAGTATGCAAACCAAACTGAGAGAGCTGCATTGTTGGAGACACTGTCCTTTTGAATGAGAAGTCAAACTCCGTTCCCATCCTCCCTGTTCATAGAATCATAGAATTATAATAATGATAATTATACAGCACAGAAGGAGGCCATTCGGCTCATCCTGTCTCTTTGAAAAGAGCTACCCAAATCAATCCCACTCCCCCGCTCTCTCTCCATAGCCCTGCATACTTGTTCTCCCCAAATAATTATCTGTTACAGTGGTTCAGGTTAAATATCCCCCGGCCCTGATATCATGACTGATATCTTGCCACATTCATCATCTCCAAAATTAATCATTCGTTCATCTCTGTCTATTCAACGCAATACCACTAGCAGACCTGGATGGGCATCGGGCTAGGGGCGGGAGCAGTTTAGCCGCACTTGCCCACATAACGGTCACTACACCTCAGAGTAACTCATTGTGAGTGGCATTTTGAGATGTGATGATTGTAGGTTATAGATAACACTAGCAGCTTGACATTTTAACCGTTTTGTTTCCTAGGTTTGGCTGTGTGGACGCCACTGGGCATTGCTTCAGGGCCCGAGACGGGCTCTCCCGGCTCCATCCATCATCTGCAGTCGGCAGTTTAGATCCCAGCCTATGAGGTACGTGATGCAATTCAATGTGAGCACCTGGAGGTGAGGTCATGTCTGACACTCCTTCACCACATGGGACAGAGATGGTGAACTCAGAACAATGTTGTAATATAGTGGTTGGACAACCTTTTTGGGTTGGCCAGCAAAATCAATGTTTCTTGGTTCAATATTCCTTAATATATGCCAAGAATCAAGAAATATTCAATCGAGCAACATTTATTTTGTTGGCCAACCAAAGTGGTTGACTACCACGGACGGGTGTAATGGGAGGATAGTCGGTTGGTTGGTGAAGGATGAGATCAAGTTAGTGTGATCCATTGTGATTGTATGAGCTTCACTGAAGGCTTCCTCCATCATGCAGTCGGAGTCTTCATACGCAGTGATACCGACTCCCATTATAACATGGTGTTTGGCTGCATAAAATCAGATGACAGGATTGATGTCAAAGTGGTCGCCAGTCATCAGGTTGCTGCTAGCAATGTACCATGCCCGCCCGCTACGGACCTTGGAAGAGAAGAGGTGAGGGAGTAGAAGGGATGAAGTTCTAGAGCGTGGTTGACGGGTATGCTGAAAGCCCACCCACTGATGGTGGGGCAGGGGTTTGTGAAGCAGGCCGGTGCCCAGAATGGAGAGAGCGGCTGGATTGGTATGGTTTGCGGAGGTCGCAGAGGTCGGGTGTGGCGAGGCCACAGAGGGATTTAAAGGTTAGGAAGAGTATCTTGAACTCGATCCGCTGGGGATGGGGTGCCAGCGGAACCGGGTGAGGAAGGGCACGCGGAGCCTAATACAGGAAAGAGCACGGGTTGCAGAGCTCTGGATGGTCTGCAGCTGGTGAAGGGAAGAGAGCAGAGAGTTGGCATAATCTAGCTGGATTCATGGACTTGGGTGTCGGCGGCCTGAGAGGAGAGGTGGTGGAGGGGGTGGGCAAGCTGCACAGGAAGCTGGTGTGTCAGATCCAAAAGTATCCCGTACCTGGGCTATAAATGCATTTGCACCATACCGAGGAACAATTTTATTTTAACCATTTAAACGAACTGAAAGGAGACCTCACACCTGGATCAATGTCTCTCTGGAACTCAAAACCCTCTGGCTCAATCCCTCCTTCCCAATCTTCAAAGCTTTGACCGTGGTTTCAGTCATTCCTCAAGCTCTTCGATCTCCCACCCTCCAGCTCGTGTCCCCAGCCAAATGTGTTAAGTGCTTTGAAACGTACTGCCGACATGAAAGGAGATGTGTAAATGTAAATCATGTTCACGTTGGAGAAGGGAAGGTTGAGGGATGATCTGATTATAGTCTTTAAGATTCTAAAGAGATTAGATAATGTAGACCATGATAAACTGTTTTTATTTTGCACTGAACAGGACACGACCAGCGATTGAAGGGGGTAAATTCAAAACAAATCAGGAAACACTACCTCAGTGAGCGAATAATAAACGTATGGAATAGGCTCCCGAGGGAGACAGGTGGTGGAGGCAAAACGTGTTGTTTGTTTCAAGAACAAATTAGATAGATTTCTGCTAGAAAATAATATCTGAGGATTAGGTATATAGTTTGGGACACGACATGTCAAGCGACTGCCAGGATGGTGGAAGGCGAGTGAGATGGACATTGGTCTTCTTTCGCCAGCAAATTCTTATGCTCTTATGTTCTTATGACTACTTTTCCTTACACAGCTATGTTCGGCGACGGGGCCTTGTTAAGAAGCTGCTTCTGGGGACTGCAGTCAGCGTTGCGGTCACTGCCGGGGTCAGGCTTTCCATGACCGACTCCCGGGAGCGAAGGCAGCTCAGGATCCTGGCTGAGGGCATCAGTCGCTTCTTCAGGCGAGTGGACCTCACACTTATTCCCTCCTCTTCCCTCGAGTGAGCTCTCGTGACTTTGAGCATAAATCCCACTCAGCCACTGTAAATACCGCAATTGACGCCAGTGTTGAAGCGTTCGCCTGACAAGCGAGAGGACCCGGCCCAGGCAGAGTGAAACTGTAGGCAAGTTTCCTTACTCCACACACACGTCTCTCTTAGCAGTAATAGTAACCCTATTGTTAGTTGGCAGATCGCATTCCAGGCGGTAATAATCCCTTGAAAAAAAATTTTTTCAAAAAAATTTGGTCACTCAATCCACGACTGTTTGTGGGACACTGCTGTATGCAATTGGCTGCTGCGTTTCACACCCACACAATATATAGTCTATTCACTTTACAGTATATTCTGCGAAGCGCTTTGAGACATCTCGAAAATGTGATAAGGTGCTATATCAAATGCAAGGATTATTTTTATCAAAAGGGCTCGTAACATTTAATAACACTTGAGCTGCTAAACTATTACTGCTCATTTAAATGCAGTAATTTGAGGAAGAAAAATGTCAAAGAGAGGTGGAAATTCAGGTTAGATGACTTGAGGCCCGCAGCCCAGTATGGTACGAGGCTATTCAGCCTGTCATGTCTATGCCAGCTCTTTGAAAAGAGCCATCCAAATCAATCCCACTCCCCTGCTCTCTCTCCCCATAGCCCTGCAAACTTGTCCTCCCCATTGTGGGAAGATGAGACTGAATGGGTTGAAGTGCCTAAACCTCTCTTGACACCTCTTGATATTCTTCCTATCTCTGTGATATGCTAACTCCATATGCACCTGTCCGCTCCCTCCGCTCAGCAGGCTCCTGCCTGCTCCACGTCCCCCGCCCAACCCGCCCCACCATCGGCGGTCGGGCCTTCAGTCACTCTGTCCCCATCTTTTAGAACTCCATCCATCAGTCTTTCGCCTCGCTCCCTCCATTGCCTCCTTCAAGGCATGTCTCAAGACCGTCCTCTTCAACTGTGCCTTCAGTCACCCTCCTACCCCCACCCTCCCTGTCCTCTACCCCTCCTGATACCAAACCCCTGCTCGGGTCAAAATCCCTGACTGTCCAGCGCCTTGGGACGTCCTCCCAACCTGAAAGGCGCTGCACAAATGTGATTTGTTGTTGTTGTTGATTAAAACTCCATCTCCTGACCTGTACCAAACTCTGCACTTCATCACCGCAGTTTCTGTCAGGCTCCATGAGCTGCCTATTGAAGAACAGATCAATCACATGAAAATCAGTCCATCTGACAGTCCTTTGTTTGCATTCCAGGTCTCTTCACGTCGGAATAAAAATCTCCACAGACTATTGGTGGACGATGAACATTGACCTGCGGGGAATGGAGGAGGTAAGTATTCCTCCCTCCCCCCACTTTCACATTTTAACATAGTCCTGTAGCTTAGAGCACACGCCTCGCAAGCGAGAGGGCCTGGGTTCGATTCCCAGGCAGGGCAAAACCTTAGGTAAGTCTCCTTATTCTACACGCCTCTGTTTACCTAGCAGTAAGTAGGAACCCACTTGTTAGTCGATTGGGGGGATCGCTTTCCGGGGGTAATAATCCCTTTAACCAAAAATAAATAAATAATAAACGCAAAATACTGCAAATGCTGGAAATCTGAAACAAAAACAGAAGTCGCTGGGAACACTCAGCAGGTCAGGCAGCATCTATGGAGAAGGGAAATTGAGTCATCGTTTCAGGTCCACCAGTTCTGACGAAGGGTCATGGACCCAAAACATTGACTCACTTTCTTTTCTCCATAGGTGCTGCCTGATCTGCTGAGTGTTCCCAGCGACTTCTAAATAAATAATAACTTGGTCACTCAATCCACGACTGTTTGTGGGACACTGTTGTATGCAATTTGCTGCCGCGTTTCTCCCACAAAATATACAGTCAATTCACTTTGAAATATACCGTTTTGAGACGTCTCGAAGACGTGATAAGGCGCTACATCAAATGCAAAGATTATTATTATTAGTTCAGGCTTCCATTGGAAGCTCTCTGGCCCCTGTGTCCGCCTGTTTCACCGAGCAAAGACCTACTTGGTATGCCCTGCCTGCTCTGCTCTGGTGTGAAATCAGGAACTTTCAGCCACTCTGCTCCACTTCGCTCTGTAGAACTCTATCCTAAATTCCTTCTGCTCGCCCCCTCCCTCCCCACTTCAAATCCCTCTCTAAAGACCTTCCTTTTTAATCGTGCTTACGGTCACTTCCCCCGCTCCCTCTGGTTAGTATCGGACTCCGTCACTATCAAGCTCTCCGGGACTCTACCGCACGTGAAGGGCTTTATATAAATGCAAGTTGTTGTAGATATAAATTATTATTGTTGCGCGGGTTTGAGTTCACACAAAATTCCAGCAAATGTCACATTCGAGAGAGATGCTGTCCAGCTTAGAATTGATGAGACCCATGAGCGAGTCTCCGAGCCAAGTGCCACACGTGCCAGCCCATCAGGCAGTCTGCACACTATCACTGACGACAACAACAAATTACATTTGCATAGCTCCTTTCATGTCAGGAGGACGTCGCAAGGCGCTGGACAGTCAGGGATTTGGACCCGAGCCGGGGGTTGGGATCAGGAAGGGTGGAGGGTAGGGAGGGTGGGGGTAGGAGGGTGGCCGTAGGCGCGGTCCAAGAAGAGGGCCTCAAGACACACCTTGAAGGAGGAAAGGGAGGGAGCGAGGCGAAGGGGCGGTGGAATGGAGTTCCAAAGGGTGGGGGCTGAGACACTGAAGACCCGACCGCTGATGGGGCGAGCCGGCCGGTGGAACGTGGAGCAGGCCGGAGCTTGCTGAGCGGAGGGAGCGGACAGGTTGATACGGGGTTAGCAGGTCACAGAGGTAGGGAGGAGCAAAGCAATGGAGGGAGGGCTTTGAAGGGCGAGGACAAAGATTTTAAACTATCCTCTAAAGTGAGGCCACCGTAGCACAGTGCTAGGGGAGCTTCAACCCACAACTTTCGGACTCCGGGGCGAATGTGCTCCCAGTGAGCCAGGCTGACGCACCATTTCCTTGCACAGAGGCGCTGTGTTAGGTACCAGTGTGTACTAGTGACACTGCTATGTTCTTTTTGAATCCTGTCATCAGAACAGCCAGAACTACTTAGCAAAAATGTCCGCTTGTCACCAGCGAGCAGCGAATAACATCGTGGAGGGAGCCATCAAGAACGGGGGCCTGTACATCAAACTGGGGCAGGGGCTGTGTGCCTTCAACCACCTGCTGCCCCCAGAGTACACGAACACCCTGCGTGTGCTGGAGGACCAGGCCCTCAGAAGGATGGAACAAGAGGTACGTTTCTCACTGGTTTGTCGTCATCTTTCTCGCCTCCTGTGGGAAGAGTCCCATCTCATTACCCAAAGTCTTAAATAGAATCATAGAATATTACAGCACAGAAGGAGGCCATTCGGCCCATCCTGTGCCGGCTCTTTGGAAGAGCCACCCAATCAATCCCATTGCCCGCTCTTTCCCCATACCGTTGCAAGTTTGTGCGTTTCAAGTACCTATCCAATTCCGTTGGGAAAGTTGTTAATGAATCTGTTTCCATAATCCAATCAGTGCATTCCACACTGTAACAACTCTCTGTGTCAAAAACAATTCTCATCAACTTTCCTCTGGTTCTTTTGCCAATTATCCTGAATCTATGTCCTCAGATTACCGATCCAGTTGCCAGTGGAAACAGTTTCTCCCTATCTACTCTAACAAAACCGCTCAGAATTTTGAACACCTCTATTAAATCTCTCCTTAACCTTCTCTGCTCTAAGGAGTACAATCCCAGCTTTTCTCACCTCTCCACATAACTAAAGTCCCCCATCCCTAGACTTGTTGAGCTGAATTGCCTGTTTCGGTGCTGTAATGATCTATTATTAATTATTAATTTTCCATCTAATCGGCCCGCCCGGGAATCATATCTGGGTCCACTTGCAAGTTTGATGCCGGGAAGGGGACGAAACCTTAGGTAAGTTTTCTTGCTCCACACACATGGCTCTGTTTGCCTAGTGGTGAGTAGGAACCCGGTTGTTAGTCGACTGGCGAATCGCTTTTCCGGGAGTAATCCTTCAAAGAAAAATGATTGGGTCACTCAATCCACAACTGTGTGCGGGACACTGATGTGCGCAATTGGCTGCCGCGTTTCACCCACAAAATACACACTTTGAAGTATATCCTGTGAAGCGCTTTGAGACGTCTCGAAGAGGTGATAAGGCGCTGTATCGATAGCAGCAATTATTATGATGTAGTGTCAGCTGCTGTTTGTGCTGTCACCAGGTGGACGTGTTATTTTGGGAAGATTTCAACACCAGCCCAGACAGGCTCTTCAGGAAATTTGACTATGAGCCATTCGCGGCCGCCAGCCTGTCCCAGGTACACAAGGCAGAGCTGCCTGACGGGACTCCTGTGGCTGTCAAAGTAGGTATCGCTCCACTCCCCTTCTGTGAGGCTCATGCTATGTGTGTGCACTGCCGTATCAACCTGTCCGCTCCCTCCACCCCGCTCAGCAGGCTCCGGCCTGCTCCGCATCCACCGTACGGCCCACTCCACCATCGACGGTCAGGTCTTCAGCCTCTCTGCCCCCACTCTTTGGAACTCCATCCCGCAATCCCTTCACCTTGCTCCGTCCCTTTCCTCCTTCAAGGCACATCTCAAGACGCTCCTCTTCGACCGAGCCTTTGGTTCACCCTCCTACCCTTACCCTTCCCGCCCTCCTGATGCCAACCCTCTGCTCGGGTCCAAATCCTTGACTGCATCGCCTTGGGATGTCCGCCCGACATGAAAGGCATGATACACCTGTACGTTGTTTTTGTTGTTGAGATGTCACACTTACACTGTGCACTTCACATTGTGAGAGATTACATAAGAAATACAAGACCAAGATCCACCTAGTTCACCTTCCACCTTCCTGACAGTCGCATGCACGATATGTCCCAAGCTATCTATGTACTATATCCCATAATGTTATTTCCTAATAGAAAACAAACTCATCTGTGTTTGAAGGAATCAACACTTCCTGCTTCAACCATCTCCCTAGAGAGCCTGTTCCACAGGTTCACTACTCGTTCACTGAAATAGTGTCTGCGTAGATTCGTTCTGAATTTACCCCCCTTCAATCACAGGCCAATTACACTTATATAGTGTGAAGTCACACTTACACTGTGCACTTACATGGTAAAGAGACCGTTTAATGTGCACCTTTCTCTTGCCTACAGATCCCTTCATGCCCTGCCACCTCTCTACCTCTCTGACCTGCTTTCTTCCCACTCCACTACCCACAGCCTCCGCTCGGTTGGCTCTGTTCTCCTGCTTGTCCCTCATCCCCTCCACTAAACCATCGGCGGCCATGCTTTCAGCCACTGCGCCCAGAAGCTTTGAGACTCCCTCAATCTCTCTGCCTTGATCCCTCCTTCCCTTCTTTCACATCACGACTGAAGACCTTAAATCATGGACGTTTCAGGTGCAGTTCATCGATCTACGGGACCGGTTTGACGGAGACATCCTGACTCTGGAGTTCCTCCTGGACATCGTTGAACTGATGCATCCAAAGTTTGGCTTCCGCTGGGTGCTCCGGGTAGGTACACTGTCCTCTTGCGCTGAACAGGCTCAGGGCTAGTCACGCTGACACAGGTGAGCTCTCGCCCGCCGAGCCAGAGGGAGGGAGGAGCATGCAGCCAATTTGCTATCATGAGCACAAGTGTTCGGTTTTAGCTGGTTACACTCCAGCAGTTACCCCAACGCGCACTCTGGGGGTCCTCCCCCCCCCCCCCCCACAACCCTTGGCTCTCGCCAACCTGCAGCTAAGACTGCCCGGATTTGGTAAGCAGGATGTGTCCCTCCAAGGATTCCGTTCCAACACTCACGTGTAAGTGGGATACATGGAATTCTCAGTTTGGTTTGGAGACCGTTACTCTTGAGGAGAAACTATTTCCTCGGGTGGGGGAATCCAGAACAAGGGGGCATAGTCTTAAAATTAGAGCTAGGCCATTTAGGTGTGAAATTTGGAGGCAGTTTTTCACTCACAAAGGGTAGTTGAAATCTGGAACTCTCTCCCCCCAAAAGGCTGTGGATGTTGGCTGGATCCGTTCACATTTTCAATGCCGAGATGCATAGATGGTTGTTAGGTCAGGGTATCAAGGGATACTGGGCAAGGGCATGTAATTGGACTTAAGGTACAGATCAGCCATGATCTGAGAGAATGGCAGAACAGGCTTGAGGGGCTGAATGGTCTACTTCTTTCTATGTTTCTATTGAGCACGGTGATGGGTTTCTGAGTGTGTTAGACACCTGACTGACTCAAAAAAAAAAAACCAGAATGAGCCTGGCTAAGCAGGAGCCACTGAGGAAGGGAGCAGTAGCACTGGAGCGCTCTGTTGCCTCTTATCAATCCATCCATTTATTGAAGACCTTGTTTGTGTTCTGCCGGAACAGGACCTGAAGGGGGCACTAGCGCAGGAGTTGGACTTTGAGAATGAGGGCCGGAACGCGGAGCGCTGTTCCCAGGATCTCAAAGACTTCAAATACGTGGTCATCCCGAAGGTATACTGGGACAAGAGCAGCAAGGTGAGTGAGGCCGAGGGGGACATCACTGATTCAGTCAGTGGCTGATCGACACTTTACATCCATCCTCATTAACACTTGAGATGTTTAGAAGTCAGAGAGATCAAGTCAGGCTGTGTGAGTGGGGGTGGGGTGCATGTGTTGTGTGTGCAACTGTGCGTGCCTGTGTGTGTGGTGTGCACGTGTGTGTTTGGGTTGTGAGGCAACATGGAGAGTGGGAGCAAGAGAGAGGGAGCGTGTAGTTAAGAGAGGAAACCCTCAGACCGGGGGCCCTAAGCCATTGCTTGATGGTTTATTGGTTAATGGGGCTCTATCTTTAATGTGTAGCTTTAATAGGTACAACCTGTGTGTGTGTGTGTGTGTGTATATGTGTTAGGTTTGGGGCTGTGTATGAGGGTTGGGGGTGAGTGAGTGTGTGTGTTTGAGGGTTGGGGCTGAGTGAGTATGTGTTTGGGCTGAAGTCTGTCTGCTTTCTCTCAGAGAGTCCTGACTGCGGATTACTGTGATGGGTGTAAAATCACCAACCTGGCGGAACTGAAGGAGCGGGGTGTGAATGTGAAAGACGTAAGTTCTGATTGTCCTCACTTTTGCATCCCTTCGCGATCTCTGTGACCTTCATAAACCCTACCAACATGCCTCCTCCCTCTGCTCGGCTACACGTCCCCCGTCTGCCTGCTCTACCATCAGCGGTCAGGCTTTCTGTCCCTACCCTCTGGACCTCCATTCCCCAGCTCCTATTCCTCACCCATTCCCTCGCCTCCTTCAGAGTCTGCCTTAAGAACGTACTCTTTGACTGGGCCAAAGTCACCTCTCTTCCCACCCCCTTGTGCCGGCTCTTTAGAAGAGCGACCCAATCAATCCCAATCCCCCGCTCTTTGCCCATATCCTTGGAAGCTTTTCCTTTTCAAATTTCTATCCAATTCCCTTTTGAAAATTGTTATTGAATATGTTTCCACCGACCCTTTCAGGCAGTGCATTCCAGACCGTACTAACTCTCTGCTTTCTTTCAACCTCCTTCCTTTGGCTCAGGTTTCAGACAAGCTGATCAGGGTCTTTGCCGAGCAGATATTTTACACGGGCTTTATCCACGCTGATCCTCACCCTGGAAATGGTAAGTGGCAGTGTCTCCTCACATCCCAGGCCAGACAGTGCTCTGAGACTCAGTAACTAGTGGCCCGGTTAAATGCTCCCGAGATGCCGTCTGGCATAAAGGGTGCTAGAAAAATTAAGTTGTTGTTTTTGTAGGGACGCTTACCCTTACCTTCAGGTGCGATCAGGAACTAGTGAAGTGGAGTCCTGTAGCTTAGTGGTCAGAGCACTTGCCTCCCAAGCGAGAGGACCTGGGCTCGATTCCCAGGCAGGTCGAAATGTTGGGCAAGTTTCCCTACTCCGCATGCCTCTATACCTAGCAGTAAAGTAAGAACCCGGTTGTTAGTCGTTTGGCGGATCACTTTTCCGTGATGAGGCACTATATCAAAGGCAAGAATTATGATTATAAGTGGCTCATCCCTCCTTCGACTGAGACATTAAACGATGGCCCCGTCTGTGCCTGTTCAGGTGGGTGTTAAAGCTCCCGCGGCGCTGTTGGAAAGGAGAAGGGAGTTTCTCTCTCCCGGTGTCCTGTCCAATATCCGCCAGATAGAACTGGTCATTCACTGCATGGTTGCTTGTGGGTCACTGCTGTGTGCAAATTGGCTGCTGCGTTTGACCTACAAAATACGCAGTCGTTAACATATTACAGGAAAATCCTGTGAAGCTCCCAATGATGTGATTAATAAATAATGATAGGCCTCCAAATGCACATATTATTATTTCCAATAATTATGAAGGAATTGTTTGGGGTAAAGGAACCCCTTTGTTAAGGACTCTGAGACACTGTGTAAGTGCCTCGTAAATTTTACAAGGGCGTGAGGAGACACGCGCTCGTAAGCTTGTTAGTGGAGGCCTGTAGTTTGGTGGTTCGTGCGCTCACATCGCAAGCGAGAGGACCAGGTTTTTGATTCAAAGGGCGGGTCAAAACCATAGGCAAGTTTTCTTTCTCCATGTGCATCTGTTCACCTAGCAGTGAGTAGGAACCCAGTTGTTAGTCATTTGGCGGATTGCTTTCTGGAGGTAAACAGTGTGTGTGGAGAAGGAAACTTGCGTAAGCTTTTGCCCTGCCCGGGAATCGAACTCGGTCCTCTTGCTTGCGAGGTCGGTGCGCTAACCACTGAGCTGTGTGAGTCCACATTATATTCTTGATTAGGAGATGAATGGGTTGAGTGTCCCACTCTGATGGCTGATGTTCTCTCTTTCTCTCGCTGTCTGTGTGCATTGTACAGTACTGGTGCGGAGAGGGCCTGATGGTCAAGCACAGCTAGTGCTACTGGATCACGGACTGTACGAGTTCCTCAGTATGAGGTGAGTGAGTCCTGACCCCGGCTCCTGACATCAGCCCCTCTGGTTACAGGGTGAGACTTTGTACAGAGTGACCAAAAAGTCCTGATACCATCACAATGTCTAATAAGTCTTAAAGAAATTTTTTTTTTTAGATAATAGGGAGATATCATGAATTTTTGTTCACCCTGTATAAAGGCTATTGGGAGGGGATGAGGTTGGGGAGGGGGTGAGAGTGGGAGTGTAAGGGGGTGGTGTTGGGGGTGAGGGTGCAAAGTGAGGGTTGGGGGTGGGGTTGTGAGGGGTGGTGGGGGCGGGGGGGGGTGAGGCGGGGGGGCGGTTTTATGCTCGGAGCTGGGGTTGACAGAGTTTGTGTTGCAGGGACAGGAAGAATCTCTGCAAACTCTGGCGTTCCATCATCATCCACAACGATGCTGATATGAGGAAATACTCCTGGGAGCTGGGTGTCCAAGGTTAGACTGTCTGGGCCATCAGGGGGGAAATAATCCTTGCAACCTCCACCCTCTCAAAGAGCCTCACTGCAGTCAGTCACTACAATCACTGTGTGTGTGTGGGAGAGAGTCACTGTTACAGTCACTATGTGGGTGGAAGAGAGTCACTGTTACAGTTACTGTGTGTGTGTGGGTGAGAGTCACTGTTACAGTTGCTGTGTGTGGGTGAGAGGCACTGTACAGTCAATGTGTGTGTAGGAGAGAGTCACTGTTACAGTCACTGTGTGTGTGTGTGTGTGTGGGAGAGAGTCACTGTTACAGTTACTGTGTGTATGTGGGAGAGAGTCACTGTTATAGTCACTGTGTGTGTGTGGGAGAGAGTCACTGTTAGTTACTGTGTGTGTGTGGGAGAGTCACTGTACAGTCACTGTGTGTGTGTGTGGGAGAGAGAGTCAGTTATAGTCACTGTGTGTGGGTGGGAGAGTCACTGTTACAGTTACTGTGTGTATGTGTGGGAGAGAGTCACTGTTATAGTCACTGTGTGTGGGTGGGAGAGAGTCACTGTACAGTCACTGTGTGTGTGTGTGTGGGAGAGGGTCACTGTACAGTCGCGGTGTGGAAATGGATAGCGGAACAATGAGCTCAGTGTTCAGGCTGACACCACGAGGGGATGGTTGAGGGAGGTGGGGGTTTGCTCTACACTGTGCCACCCCCCCCCTCCCCTCCAGTGGGGGTGAGTTGTTAAACCGAAGATCCTATGATGCTATTCGAGGGGGTGGAGAGGACATTTCTCCGGGTGTCTTGGCTAACAATAAATGGTCGAAATAAATTTGCCAATAAATAGTCTTTACACTTGACCGCATTTTCTCTCACTCTGTGTGTCCCAGACTACTTCCTGTTCTGTGAGATCCTGATGCAGAGGCCCATCAACATGCGAGTGAGTACGCTGTACCTGGCGAACGTCCTGAGCCGCGAGGAGACGCGCTACATGAGGGACATGGCCACTCAGCACTTTGACCGCATCATGCAGGTGCTGAAGGCCCTGCCCCGGCCCATGCTGCTCGTCTTCAGGAACATCAACACCGTGCGAGGCATCCACAGCGCCCTGGGCTCCCCCGCCAACCGCTACCTTCTCATGGCCAAAAGGTAACCCCCTCCCCACCCCACTGGCAAACGGGTTTATGGTAATGAAGCACAGTCTGGCACTCAGCTGGCCACATATTCCTTTGAGGTAAAGTCTAGGATTAACCCTCCAAGGGGCTGTCTTGGTTGCACCTTTCACAATTCTTTACAGGATTTCCTTCCATTACCATTTGGGGGAATGATAAAAGTCTGCTGTGAGTGTGTGTGTTTTCATGTGCACCTCGTGTGCGTGTCTCGCGTGGATGTGTGTGTTCTTGCTGTGAATTACAGCGGTTTTAGGATTAAAATTTGCGATCTTCGCAACGGGCTGTGTAAATAGCAGATCCTAATGAGATATCCGGCCGACCCTCTTGTAGCTTAGTGGTTAGAGCACTCGCCTCGCAAGGGAGAGGACCTGGGTTCTACTCCCGGGAAGGGAGAAACCTGAGGCAAGTTTCCTTCAGCGCCTTGGGCCGTCCTCCTGACGTGAAAGGCGCTATACAAATGTAATGTTGTTGTTACTCCACGCACCTCCGTTTACCTAGCAGTAAGTGGGAACCGGATTGTTAATCGATTGGCAGATTGGTTTTCTGGGGGTAATAATAGTGGTTACAGCAAACCACAAAGCTACAGAACTCAGCTTTAATAGATGCTGCGGCAATATGTTCCACATCCTCATTCTCTGTGCATTAAGATAATTTCTTCTTTCTACCACAGGTTTGTGACAGCATATTGAATATCGGTCCTTGTGTAAATGCTTCAATGGGAGAACCTGCTTTCCTCTCTGAGGAGGTGAGTAATGATTGCCTTATCCTTGTGACTGGGAATTCCCATCTTTGCTGTGTGTCTTACAGCTTGCAGCTGTATCTTATAGCTGTTAGAGAATGCCACAGTTTGATTTTGTCAAGTTCTTTTACCTCAATAGAAATAATAATAATAATTGCGCCTTATCACGTCATCGAGGCGCCTCAAAGCGTTTCACAGGATATACTGTAAAGTGGATTGACTGTGTATTTTGTGGGCGAAACACGGCACGAGGGGTGGCATCCCAGAGTGCTTGACAGTAGCGGTCTCTGACACCGAGCCGGGGGAGAGGGAAGGGGGAGGTGACCATAAGCACGATCAAAAAGGAAGGTCATTAAGCGAGATTTGAAAGTGGGAAGGGAGGGGGCAAGGTGGAGGGATTGAGGGAGAGAGTTCCTGAGGCTAGTGGCTGAAGGCACGGCCACTGAAGGGTGGAGCAGAGGGGACGAGGGACAAACAGGAGGCCGGAGCCAGGCCGAGCAGAGGCAGTGGGTGTTGGAGTGGGGGGGTAAGCAGGTCAGATAGATAGGGAGGCGCGAGGGATTTGAAAACGAGTGTGAGTACAGCGTTTGCAAAGAAAGTTCACCCCCCGTGGATCTGCCTTGTGGAGTTCATTCCTCGCCGTAAATCGCCGTAACTGCAAGTCCCGTTGGTTGTCATGCTGTCAACTCCTCAACCAATGCAATTAGCCGAAGTAATTGTACAGGCGCAAATGAAATCGACTGGTTCTCTTTCATGCAACTAAGCAAATTAAGTAACTCTGTAATTTTGTGGGCGAAGCGAGGCAGCCAGTTTGCGCACAGCAACGTCCCACAAACAGGCACAGAGCGAGCGACTGATTTTATTTGGGGGATTGCGAAGGACTTGATTTTTTGGTCAGCTGGGTGGGTGTCAAAATGGCACGCAGAAATTGGGGAGCAGCTATGGGGATGTGGATGCGAGTACGTGCATTTGCACAGTCATTCCACTTTACAATATATTCTGTGAAGCACTTTAAATTTATTATCCTTGGAAAAGCGATCCGACAATCGACTAACAACCAGGTTCCTACTTACTGCTAGGTAACGTCCTCCCGTCCTCCCGCTTTGGGATGTCCTCCCGACGTGAAAAGCGCTATATCAAATGCAAGGATTATTATTATTATAGGTAAACAGAGGCGTGTGGAGTAAGGAAACCTGCCCAAAGTTTCGCCCTGCCCGGGAATTGGACCCAGATCCTCTCGCTTGCAAAGCGAGTGCTCTGACAACATTCTACAGGACTCCAATGTAATTTGATTATAGGAAGGAAATAACAAGGTTTTTAACAGCTGAACGATACCACTAGTCTTCTGGGTTAAGATTTTCCCGTTCTGTTCTGTTGCACACTGCCTAACTTCCTTCCCTGTGTCGCTTTCCAGTTCCAGAATAATCCGGAGCCAGACCTGGAGATTGTTGTGTGTTCAGGATACGGAAAGAATGGTGCACTATCTGTCCTACAGGTAATGGTTCGAACCTCTGCAGCCCTTCGGGTTCCCATTGAACACAATAGAAATTAACTTAAGGACCGACCCGCAGTCTGAATGGCCTCTCACACGCCACAGTGAGGGAAGCAGGGACCTCGCTGCAGGTTGGGGTAGGGGCAGCCCTACTGGTTCCTGCTGTCCGCACAAGACTGGAAGACTGTAGAAAGCGATGATGATGACAACAACAACAATTTGCATTTCCATAGCGCCCCACTGTAACGGAGGGTAGTGTCTCAGGGCACTCGACAGTAGCGGAGCACGACACCAAGGTGGGGGGACGTGACCTGAAGACGGAGAAGGTGGTGGCAAGGTGGAGAGATAGAGATTGAGAGTTCCAGTGTTTTGGGCGTAGCGGCTGAAGGCACGGCAAGCAGAAGGCGCGAGGGACATGCAGGAGGCCAGAGTCAGTTGAGCAGAGGCAAGGGGTAGTGGATTGGGGCATAAGCAGGTTGGAGAGGCAGGGAGGTGCCAGGGCAAGAAGGGATTTGAAGGCATGTGAGAGGATCTTGAAGTCGATCTGTTCGGTGATGAGGAGCTAGTGGAGCCTGGAAAGAACTGGTGTGATGGGGTTATGGAGTTTAGTGTGGGTGATTATGTGGGTGGCGGAGTTCTGGTTTAAGTGGAGTTTGCAAGTTTTTAATTTACTCCTCTTGAATCGCAGACCACCTCCTCCGGATCGACTGTTCAGTACAAAATAAAACAGCTTATCATTGTCTACGTGATTTAGTTCCTTTGGCATCTTAAACACTGCA